CAGAGTGAGTCTCTAGTAAATGATTTACTGATTCAAATGATCTGTTCTGAGTGAATCTCCTGTAAATGATTCACTAATTCATATGACCTAATCAGAGTCAAGTAAATAATTCATTAGCTGCGTCCCAAATCGCATACTTGTGCACTATTCTACGCCATTTTGTAGTATATATAGTGTAAGTAGTGTGTTCAGACTGAAAACTCTAAAAATAATAAGTGCACTTTAATTACCCGGATGATGCACTCATTCAGCCGCTAAAATGAAGTGTGTAATGATGGACACTTCACGCACTCAACGACCGCAGGTTTGCTTACGTAGCGGAAGGGGCGGAGCTATCGGACACACATGTTGGATAACTTTATTTATTTTGGATTGTGAAAGCAAAATTCTCCTACGAGAGTGATTATAGCGCCTCCCGATGGTGAATGCGGCAATACTCGCGGCAGGTATTACTTGATACCTCAGTCATTTATTTCACTGATTTAGCGACCGTCAAATGTCATCAGGGAAACGGATTGAATTTCCGCTTAGTAAAAAAACATTAGTGTGCCATTTGGGACAACACTACATACATGTACTATCCTGTTGAGTGTGTAAGTGCATAAGTACATAGTGCATGAGTGCATAGTGTATAGTGTGCCATTTGGGACGCAGCTATAGATTCAACTGATTTATTCAGAGTGAGTCTGTATGAAATGATTCACTGATTCAAACGATCCAGTACTAGTGAATCTCTTGTAAATAACTCACTTATTCAAATGATTTGTTCAGAGTGAGTCTCCAGTAAATAATTCACTGATTCACATAATTCGTTCAGAGTGAATCTGCAGTAAACGATTCGCTGATTCAAATTATCTGTTATGAGTGAATCTCCAGTAAGTGGTTCACTAATTTAAATGATATTTTAAGCGAATCTCAAGTAAATAGTTCATTTATTTCATTTCATTTTCTTGTTGGCTTGATCCCTTTATTATTCCGGGGTCGCCACAGCGGAATGAACCGCCAACCGCATGTTTTTGAGCAGCGGATGCCCTTCCAGCTGCAACCCATCTCTGAAAAAAACATCTACATACACTCATTCACACACACACACACACTCATACACTACGGCCAATTTAGCCTACCCAATTCACCTGTACCACATGTCTTTGGACTGTGGGGGAAACCGGAGCACCCAAAGCAAACCCATGCAAATGCAGGGAGAACATGCAAACTCCACACAGAAACGGCAACCGAGCCGAGGCTCAAACCAGCAACCCAGCGACCTTCTTGCTGTGAGGCGACAACACTACCTACTGCGCCACTGCATCGCCCCAAGTAAATAGTTCACTGAGTCAAATGATTTATCCCAGAGTGAGTCTGCATGAAATGATTCACTGATTAAAACGAACTGTTACGAGTGAATCTTTAGTAAATGATTCACTGATTCAAATGATTTATTCAGAGTGAATCTCCAGAAAATAACTTACTTATTCAAATGATTTGTTTAGAGTGAGTTTTCAGTAAATGATTCACTGATTCAAATGATATGTTCAGAGTGACCCTCCAGATAATAACATTATTATTTAAATTATTTGTTTAGAGTGAATCTCAAGAAAATAGTTCACTGATTCAAATGATTTATTCAGAGTTAGTCTGCATTACATGATTCACTGATTCAAACTATCTGTTACAAGTGAATCTCCAGTAAATAATTCACTATTTACATAATAGTGATTATATAATATTTATATAATATTATTATTAAAAAATAATATAACAAATTATTTGTTTTGAGTGAATTTCTAGAAAATAACTCATGTATTTAAATGATTCATTGATTCAAAGGATCTGTTACGAGTGAATCTTTTGTAAATGCAATGTAGAAAGTAATCTGAATGCAGCGAGTTTTGTTTAAAAACTAAACATAATGTTAAATTAATGTTAATTATTTCTGCTGCAGTTGCACGTAATAGATAATAGATAAGTTTTTAATTTGGTCATGTCATAGTGCTTCATACTTTTGTAGTTCTTTCTCATCAGTTAAGTTAAGTTTACAGCCATGTATCTTTGTCCATTTTTCCACATATAATTATTTTCTTCCAATTAAAGTGTGTGTGTTGTGATTGGTTGGTTTGGTTTGGGTCATAATACTTTAATGAAGCCTAAAAAAAATATCTGAGTCATCTGACCTCATGATTACTGTCATCTAAGCTGTTTACTGGTGTAGAAAGTTGCTTTATAAGTCAACAGAAGGATTACTAAACTACTAGTTGGTGGATGTTTGTTCATTTAAAAACACTTCTGACATTGAATAACAGTAATTTGGACAGGAGATGCAGGATTTTGGCCGTGTGCCGAGCTGCATTGCAGTTTTTGGATCTGTATTGAGTCCTTCAGCTGTGAATGAAGGACACTGAGCAGATCTGAGTGTTTCAAACTGCAGGAGAGATGGGACAAAATGTGGAAAGAAACACAATGACTGGAAAGCAGAACAATGGATGTCGTATGACCAAGTGTGGATTAAAAGTGAACAATAACACGAGTTCGCTGAATTGACTGAATCATCCTGTCAAGGCGAGCAGGGTTGCCAGATCTACGCAAGATTTACAAGCAATATCAGAACTCATATACATTGTGAAATATGTAGTCCAATGTTAGGACTATTTTACGTATTGTCATCATTTGTATGATTGCATGTGATTTAATGGTAGCACTTTAAATTCACACCTTCTACTGGATTATCACCTGCCTATTGTTAATATATTGAATGTGTATTATCACTTACAAAGTATGATCTTATATTAAATCTCTGATCCCACTCAATATCTAAACCCAGCTACCTTACTAACAAATAATAAGCAGCTAAACTAAATCATCATGTCAAGGATGCAAGCAGGGTTGCCAGATCTATGTGAGATTTACGAGTTTGGAAATAAAAATAGATGTGGTATAGTTCCAAATTAACAATAATATATACTGTTGAAGTCATAATTATTCGCCCTCCTGTGAATTTTGTTTTGTTTTTTTAATGTTTCCCAAATTATGTTTAACAGATTCAGGAATTTTTCACTGTATTTTCTACAATATTTTTTTCTTCTGGAGAAAGTCTTATTTGTTTTATTTTAGCTAGAATAAAAGCTGTTTTAATTCAAGGTCAATAATATTAGCCCCCTTAAGCAATATATTGTTAGTATTGCTCAACTACACTAATTCAGCGGCTTCTCAAACTTTACCCTGCGACCCCCAATATCATATCATCTGAGGTGGTTATGAATATAAAAAACTTGTACGCAATAGTGCACACACACGAATGGACCCAAGTTTATTCATTCATTCAAAATTGTAACCCAACTGGTTGAGTAATAAATAACCTAATAAAGGTTAAAAAATAACTCAACAAAGCACCAAATATTTAACCCAACTGGTTGAGTTATTAATATATAACCTAATTAAGGTTAAAAAATAACACAACAAAGCACCAAATATGTTTAACATCAACGACTGGGTTAAATAAATAACCTTTTTAGTGTACTTTATTCCTTAGTCTGTTTTACAGGAAAAAAAAAATCTCCATAATGCAGAAAAACGCATTACTGGAAAACTAAATAAAAAATTGTATTAATAAATAAATAAATAAATAAATTAATTAATTAATAAGAATACCCATTTGACGTAATGACGCATTACTGGAAAATAAATAAATAAATAAATGAATAAGAATATCCATATGGCATAATGACACGTTACTGGAAAATAAAATGAAATAAAATAAAATAAAATGAAACAAAATAAAATACATAAATAAGAAAACCCATATGACGTAATGACACATTACTGGAATATAAATAAATAAATAAATAAATAAATAAATAAATAAGTAAATAAACAAACAAATAAATAAGAATACCCATATGACGTAATGACGCATAACTGGAAAATAAATAAATAAATAAACAAACAAATAAATAAATTCATTAATTAATTAATAAACAAATAAATAAGAATATCCATATGGCATAATGACACGTTACTGGAAAATAAAATGAAATAAATAAATAAATACATAAGAATATCCATATGGCATAATGACGCATTACTGGAAAATAAAATGAAATAAAATAAAATAAAATAAATAAGAATACCCATATGACGTAATGACACATTACTGGAAAATAAATAAATAAATAAATAAATAAATAAATAAAAATATCCATATGGCATTATGACGCGTTACTGGAAAATAAAATTAATTAATTAATTAAATAAATAAATAAATAAATAAGAATATCCATATGGCATAATGACGCGTTACTGGAAAATAAAATAAATTAATTAATTAAATAAATAAATAAATAAATAAGAATATCCATATGGCATAATGACGCGTTACTGGAAAATAAAATAAAATAAAATAAATAAGAATACCCATATGACGTAATGACGCATTACTGGAAAATAAATGAATAAATAAATAAATAAATAAATAAATACATAAATACATAAATAAATAAATAAATAAATAAATAAATAAAATAAGGAACAATACCCATATGGCGAATGACGCGTTACTTGGCAACCCTGACCGCAAGACCCGCAGCGACCCTCCTCTCCACTGGATGCCGCTGCAGTCCAAGAAAGAGGCTCCTCCCCTCCACTCATCATTCAAAATCTCCCCAAAGGGTGTGTTTTCACGGCTCTACGTATATTCGTCCCGCATCACGCACTGCAGAAATGGGCAAGAGACTCGGTGTGTGTGAAAAGAGCAGTCAAAGCGCTAAAGGACACCGGGAAACTTCTTCAAAAAGCGCCGAAGATCTCGCCTGACGCTGCCGCCAATTCAGCAACATCATCCGTAGTTCTTCAACCGACTTTTCCTGTCACCCGGATCAGGGCAGGACAGCGAGATCTCCGGTTATCAGTGGAAGACAACACGAGTATGCAGAAAACATGAGTGGAGGTTTCAAACCGGATCGATCGGGAGTGTTTTGGAGCTGTCATTGAGTGTCCTTTTCCCCGTAGGGCTGAAGGTGATGAGGATGATGAGCAGGGAGGAAGAAAAACACCGTCAGTTTAGTTGAAGGAGCTTTCTAACAGCATTTATCCGAACATATATACCTGTATAGTGGTTTATGCAGGTATACACACACACATATATACATACCTGTGTGTATGTCCCGGTTCATCTTCACACAGAAAGGATGATGGTGATTTTGGAGGAAGAAAATACCATCAGTTTAGTTGAAGGAACATTCTAACAGCATTTACCTGAGGATATATACACCTGTATAGTGGTTTATGCAGGTATACACACACACATCTATATACCTGTGCGTGTTTACTGTTTCATCTTCACCTGGAGAGGAAGATGATGGTGATTTTCGAGGAAGAAAACACCACCAGTTTACATAAAGGAGGCTTCTAACAGCATCTATCTGAACATATCTATATTTAAAGTACATGTATGGTGGTCCTAGCGTATAAGCAGGTATACCCGCACACACCTGTGCGTATTTCCTGGTTCGTCTTCACCTGGAGAGGGTGTTGATCACCAGGAAGCAGGAACCATAGGATCTCTTCTTACATTCCTCTTCAGAAAATGCTCCAGGACTCGTTAAATAGTTTAAAAACAAACTTCACAACAGCACTAGCAGCCCTGCACAGATAATAGGAGCCTTTGCATATCGACTTCTCGCATCTTCTGAAACTTATCATGGAGCTCAAGGTGTTTATCGTGGCTTTGGGGCTCTTGTTGGGGAGTTTGGTGGCCGCCAGCTCCCCGGCCGCGAGCAACGGTAAAGAGAGTTCTCATAGTGGGGTCGGTGATCACGAAAGCGCTGGTCACGGTAATCAGTCCCGGAGAGCCTTCCCGGTGTTGTCGTTTGATTATGAACACGTTCGACTGCCGTTTGAGATTTCACTATGGGTGCTGCTGGCCTCCTTGATGAAGCTGGGTGAGTGTGTTCATTTTGTTGTATTTTTGCTTCATTTTTTTTTATTGAATACAAGAATAATAACATCACTGCATTGAAAAAAATACAATAACAAAAAATAAGAAAGACAGAGAGGAAAAAAAATTACACAGCCTCAAACATTAATAAAAAAGATTGTCATAAGCTTTAAGAAACTTATTCTTCTTATTATTATTAATAAGCTTCAGAGATTCAATATTATACGAAATTTCAACAAGGAAAGTATTAAAAACAGGTATTGTTTTTATAAACTTATTTTTGTGTATAAAAAATTTACAGTGTAACACAAAAAAATTTACAATAAGATCGAGAGCATGATCATTATCCGAGAAACACAGAAATATATCTTTTATAGACAAATTTAAATCATGTTTAAAAATGGATGATAAATAAAAAGTAATGTCATTCCAAAGATGTTTAATGTGAGTGTAACTATAGAATAAGTGAAATAAAGTCTCTTCATGTGTATTGCAGAAAGTACACAAATTAGACATATCAAAATAATTAGCAATTTGGGAATTTGTAGGATAAACATTATGCAAGATCTTAAAATGTATCTCTTATTTTGTTGGATATGCTGAATTTTTCAGGTAATAACCATGCTCTCTTCCATTGAATGCAGTCAGAGAAGTTGGTCCAAAAAAAAATTTACATCTTGGGGTGGTATATACAGAGTAATGTAACAATCGTCTGACATGTCTGTTGTCACATTTTTTATCAAAAAAAGACACTCCATCCAAAAAAAGTTTAGGCATAATTGTTTCCCTCTCATTAAAGTAAAGAAACGTTTTAAATAAATGCACATAACTTTGTGACAAACTCTTTATAACACAGTTGAAGGATTTAGCTGGCAAAGGGAAGTTATACAATGTCATAAATTCTTCATATTATTTTTGCTTCATAAACAGTAGCATCGTAAACAGTATGCATGTGCATTACCTGATTGAGGTAAACTTGGTTATTTATTCGCAGATTCATTTAGTGACTACATGTGACATGCTCCCTGCATCATCCATGATACTTGAATATTCTGAAATCACATGCGAGTATGAATTCAAATCAACATTAGCATTATTTAATGGACTGTGAACAATATACTTTGATAGTCACTGGCTGCTAATATGATATGCCTATATTTAAAATTTGCAAAGGATAATGTTCTGAAATTATCTTATTAAGGAGAAAGTGAAAATGTGTGAATATAAACCAACTTTACCTCAGTCAAAACTTGGGGTTTTAAAGCTACAATATTTTAAACTTGTTTTTTTTGTATGCATTACTACTTTATTATTATTTAAAACGTGTCCTGATTTTTGTTTTCATACATTTTTTGCTATGATTTACACAAGAGGTTCACTAAAGCTCATTCAGTGTAAAATGAGTTTATATATCAAAAGATCTTGCCAGGCATATTCAGAATAATAATAAAAAAATTGTTTAATGACATTTAAAAGATCCTATTTAAGGATTACAGTTTGACCATTTTATCTGTAGGCCTAATGCATTTTTAAAAGTTGTTTTAAAATATAATACAACTTCGTATGATCATTTGTTGTTGTTGTTGTTAGGTAGAGGTCAGTTTTTTATTTTTGTGTAATTTAGTTCTTAGGATTAGAATTAGATGATTGAACATTGTTTCACCATTATATGTAGTTTAAGCTTTCTTTGACCATGAATATATCCAACACTTAATATTGCGATCGTAAAAAAAAATTATATATATATATATATAATAAAAAGTATATTAATTTTTTATATATAATATAAATTACTATATATATATATATATATATATATATATATATATATATATATATACATACATACATACATACATACATACATACAGAGCTTAACAATAAGGACTTGGGACAATAGACAGGATCATTACTGGCCCGATTGGAGCCACCTTTTATTAAATAATTTTGAACTTCAATAAAATACTTTTACATTTTCCATATTTTTTGTTTTGTTAACACAGGATTTTGCTTATACATTTATTAATATTTTTTTTGTTAACAAACATTATTTAAATACATTATTTGAATAATTATTAACATTTAAATAATTATACACCATATTTTTGATGCAGTATTTAAAATATGTTGCTAAAAAATAGCTATTAAATAAAACAATTTCTTTGACGGTTACAGTGAAAATTTATATAAAATTTGTAGACTTAATTTGATGTCGACAATGATATCTTGTCTTTGACCCATATAATTCATATATTATGTTTTTTTTCTGTATCGTTTACAGTATGAATAAACTGCGAGAAGTGAATTGCTTTTTATAAAAGTAGCATGTGTGCATATTATTATAAAAAGCGCTTAGATCGGCAAAATATTTATACAGACCACACTTTAATATTTTCAATTGTGTCCAAAGTGCATGTTTAATGTGATAAAGACTTCATTCTGGCATCTTGTTAGTGTGCGGTGACCCCATCAGACTCTAGAGACTCTTAATTACCCTCTGCCCAAGAGGGTTTCCTTCTCTTCTCATGCTACTACATTTATTTACCAGTGTATATAATCGTTTTGGATTTTGTCACACTGTGTCCGAGTTGCTCAATCTCTACACGCAGCTAATTTGAGACCGCACAGTCATCAAAACACAATATCAGCAGAATATCTGGTCCAGTTTGCAGTTTATTCTAAAATAAACCGATCAGACTGACATATGAAGTGACCAATGGGGCACCAGACAGCTGTGCAGCGGCATCAGCCAATCAGATCTTTTTGTTTTAGTGCGGATGCATGCATGCATCAGAATGTCTGAGACGAGGACTATGGTAACCTAAGCTTGCCATTGAATTACACCTTAGCAAACGGTGTCAATTAGGCGCCTTATGTATTGATGGTTACAGTGCGAATACTGACCCACAAACTGCAACTGTGCAATTAAATGCTTAGGATGGAGTGTTATTTTCATTCTGCCTGATTAGAGGTGGCCATAATATGGTTTATTAAATCATGTTTTGCTTTCCGAGCGAGTTGTTATTATGATTATTGCTGTGGCTATTAGTGTAGGATTATGCATGACATGATTGTTGCTGTCAGTGCTTGAGTAGGGCTGTGGAATATGACAAAATATATTGTGTGGACAAAATAAAAAGTGTTGTCATTTCATATTGCTGTGAATTTCGTAGTGTCAGAAAATGCTTGATTAACAGTAATACTTTTACATAATTTAAATAAACACAATATGAACTCATCAGATTGAGGAAACTTATTCCCTCAGTTTAATCTCAAAAAACTTGCATATTTAAGTTTATTTGACTGAAGCTTTTGTGTAATGGGGTCTCCTAAAATGTAAGTTTTTTTGAACTTGTTGCATTTGTAGCTTGTACATAGCATTTTGAGTAATGGGGTCTCTCAAAACTTACATATTTAAGTTTATTGGACATGATGCCTTTGTAGTGTTTACTTAAACTATTGAGTAATGGTGTTTCCTAAAAATATACGTATTTTGTTTTGTTGAACTTGGTTTTTGTGTGTTGGCATGGCGGCTCAGTGGTTAGCACTGTGGCCTCACAGCAAGAAGGTTGCTGGTTTGAGTCCTGGCTGGGCCAGCTGGCATTTCTGTGTTTGCATGTTCTCCCTGTGTTGGCGTCGGTTTCCTCCGTGTGCTTCGGTTTTCCCCCATGGTCCAAGCACATGCACTATATACTTTAAAAAAAATTATATGTTACATGATTTAATCAAGTTAATTGTGTTGTAACTTTAGTTTTTAGGTTTTAAGTCAGTTTAACACTATATAAGTTCAATGGACTCGTGAGGTTAATTTGATTGAGCTTAAAAATATAAGGCAATCGGATTATTTTTTTTTTACAGTGTAGGTGAATTGAATAAACTAAATTGGCCAATGGCCATAGTGTATAAGTGGACTCGCTGTATAAATCATATGCTGGAATAGCTGACGGTTCATTCCGCTGTGGTGACCCCAGATAAATATGGGACTAAGCTGAAGGAAGATGCGTTTTTAGCTTGTACTTAAACTTTTAATTAGTGGGGTTTCTTAAAACTTAAGTTTATTGAACTTGGTGTATTTAAAGAATGTACTTAATATTTTTTATAATGAACTTAACATATTGAAAGTTCAATGTTTACATTTAGCATTTTAATTGGTAAAATTAGCTCTCTTTTTTTTTTAACGTCAAACCTGAAATCATTATTTTTTGAAAAAGGGGTTTTGTTTTATTAATTTATTTATTTCTAAAAATTTGAAATTTGAAATTTGAAAATACAATTTAATACATTTCTTAATTTTTAATCAAACATTTGCCCTGGAGAAATATGCTCATGAGTAAATTTCTAAATGAATGCTTTAAAATATAAAAAAATAAAATTAAAATAAATCTTGTGGGTTATCTTAAATGTTTTATCTTTCCATTCCTAAAGATTTTCAGTGACCAAACTCTTAATAGATATATCTGTTTAATAAACTATTTTGACTAATATTGCCTATTTATTGGCTTTACTAAGAAATGAATAAAAATATACATTTTTCAAAAGAGGGTGTACTCTAATGCTAAGCACTGTGTTTTATTAAAAACAATCAATTGATAGTATTTACAGAAATGCTACTATCATGATAAATATCGTCATCAGGATATGAGATGACTTGTATTGTGAAATGACATTTTTGTCATATCGTCCAGCCCTACACTGTAAAAAAATCCATAAATGATCAGTTTTCTGTATTTTATGATTCATATTTTAAGTTTCCCCATTTATTTCTACTTTTGAATTGCATTATGGGAGCTTGATCTTTCTTCCAACAACTTTTTAACCTTAAAAAGTTCTAAACGTTTTTTTTTTTTTTTTGTTTACATTTTGTGCTATATTTTCTGGGTTAGTGTTATATATTACGATACAAAAACTTTGTATTAAACTGCCTAAACATTTTCTGTTATTTAACATGCTTATTTCTCAATATATTATTTCTTTACTAACTGCATCTGTTTAATGTTTGTCGTC